CCTTTTTTTATATTTTAAATTTACCTTTACAACTAATTCTCAGCGGGGCTTAAATGTTGTTATTTTATTTGCGACTTATAGCATTTCGACTATTTCATATTTGCACATGCCGCATGCACGTTTTTGCATATTTTGTTGCATTGATTTTTTATTTATTTCTGAGCTGCGTTTAAATTGCAAAATAAGCTGGCATTTAAAACTATATCTACACTTATAAATGGCGAAAATAAAAATAGTATAGATATTTTTTCGACATTTTGGTATGTGTTTGCATTGTTTTATATCGACAATTGCATCGAGAGACAGACAAACACACACACGCGCTTGGCTGGAAGTTCTCTCTGTGTGTGTGTGTGTGTGTGTGTCCGAGCAGTTGTTTACAATGTGTGTAATTTGTTGTTGTGGTCAAAATTGTCGATTGCATTATTATTGAATAATTGAACAGCTGCCAATTGAATATAAACGACGCGCCCTTGAAATAAATGGCAACATGGTACTACGAAAAAGGCGAAAACTAAACTTAACTAATTACAAATGCAATCCGAAGCACTTTTCATGCCTCCCCCCCACTCATGTGCTACGTTGCGTATGCGTAACATTTATTGAACCAAGTGCAGAGGCAATGGCATAAAAGTTGGCTAGTTGCCGGCACAGGCGCAAAAGTTATAAATTATTTGCAGTAGACTGATTGGCAAAAGCAATTGCAAGCGGGCCAAAAAAGCAAAAACAATGCCAACAGCAACTAGAACTGGGGAGGGGAGGCAAACTGATGCTGTACACATAACAGCTGCAACCGCAACCAACAACAACAGCAACAAGAGAACAAGTTAAAACAACTACAACAAAAACTAGGAATAGTCAGGCCAATGAAAGGCCTTTGCCAGGACATGGCAACAAGGCGCAAACACTCGAGTGCCAAGATAGAGAAAAATGGCGCATGAAATGAAGCGGAAATGGCGCAAAAAGGAACCCAGCTATCACACACACACACACACACACACACACGCACTCACACAGTTTGAATGAGTAAAAAGGACAGCGGGTGAGAAGGGGCTAGGGGCGATCGCTGCACAGCCACTTACAGGGCTGAACTAATATGTACATTAGTATCTTTGAATGCATGTGAACAACTGATAAATGTCTGGTCATGTTTGCCTTTGCGTATGCGTGTGTGTGTGGTTGTGTGTATGTGTGTGTGCTCTTGTGTGTATTTGTGGCTGCCTAAGCGCCTGTGAATGAAATCGAGCGTCGAATGAAAAATGCATGCAATTTATTTTATTTTATTTCAGTTTAGTTTAGTTTGGGTTCAGTTCGGTTCGGTTCGGTTTGGGGTCTGAGGCTTTGGGTTTGGTTTCTCTTTGGCCCCGTCCGAGGTTTGAATGCTTCGCTTGCAAACGGCTGGCATTGAAATTTCGAACAAAAAGCAACGTTTTGCAAACGTTTGAAAATGCACTTTGATGGGCCAAACAGAACCTAAGCATATATATATAAATATACATATATATACTATATATATCATACGCGAGGGCTGCTTAAGCATAAATAGAAACCTATTCGGATTGAATGGGACAAAAAGGCGAACGGCTGTTAAGGAACAGGAAATATAGCCAAAATGGCTAAAACGTTAATTGAATATTAAAGAATAGACATAAAGGTTCTCTGTGGGAAGCTCAGCCTTGGCCAAGCATAAACGAGATGCTTTAAACCTGGGCTTTCAACCAGGGTATAATCTTTAAAGGCAATATTTAAGCATAAGTCTGAGGATTGGAAAAAGTTGCATGCCAAGCAACTCATGAGAAATCTCCATGCCCTCTTTTGAATTCCACATATAAATTCAATTTACAATAACATTTTTAATTGGCTTTATAATGAATTGAAAGAAAAACATGTGTGAAAAACGTGGGTTTTTTTTGCAGCATATGACGAATAGAGACAACGTCTATAGATTTAAACAATATAGTAATAATACAGTAAGGGAAAACAATTTACTGTTTATATTATTGTTCACGCCCAATAAAACTTCTTAAACATTATTAGGCCAAAGAGCTAGGCAATGTTTGTAGTGTCAGCCAGAACGTAGCCAAAGCTAATGCATGCGTAGCTTAAAGGCCAAGTTGCATAAATATGCGATAAGCTATAAAAAGAAACACACACTGTGACAAACACGAGCGCACACACCCAATACACTTACACACACACACACAACCAGAGCTGTGCGCATGCATAATATATGCAGTAACTGTGCCTGCGGCTGTGGCTCGCGCCGCTGAACTACTTACTAGCCAACCGCAACAAGTGCACTTGGCAGCGGCTGCTGACAAACTGCTGCATAGCCACACACGCTCACACGCACATAGACACAGGCAAATACACACAAATGGTTATACAAATACATACAAACACACATGAACTGACACGTAGACAGGTGTGCATTTAAACGACATGTGTCGTCTTCACACTCAAATGCACTTCAAACGCGCGCGCCGCACGTAGCAACTGCCCGGCCAGCCCTTGAGCCGACCCACAGCAAACCAATGCCCCACCCAATACGCCCCCAGCCCCACTCTACAGCACACAGTTGCATGCCCCCTTGCAACCGCAGCACACATAGACACTGTGTTGCCTTGAAAGCTCATGGCTGACATAAACTTCCGCATTAAATCGACTTTGAACTTGAAAATGTTAGTTCCAGGGCCGCGTGCACATACACAAACACACACTCACACACCCACACTCACAACAATATAGAGGGTTGCTTATGTTTAGTTGCAGTTGTTGTTGCCGCTGTCATTTGAAGGTTGAAGCGCTCAGCTTGCAATTTGCTATTAATATTTAAACATGCAAAATTATTGCAACACATTTGCAGCAAGTGCAGCTGGTCAAAACGTGAGTCTATATACATATACATGTGTGTGAGTGTGAAATCTGTGCGCAGAAGAGTCTTTGCACGTATCGAAATCGTAAGCCCTGAAAAGTATGCTACATTTTCGCACACTGTTATGCAAGCTACTCAAAGCGAATACGACTGCCAATCAACTCAGGCATGCTTGCATATGAACACACAGAGAAAGTGAACAGGTGAGGGCGAATCATGTATTGGGCACAGGGGCAAGGCAAAGGTTAATAAGCTCACGTGTTCTGTGCATGTCAGCCAACAGCTAATGCCAACTTTTAATGAGCTCCATGCAAACTGAGTCAGCAACTGCGTCTCCGCAATTGCATCTGCATCTGTTTATGCTTCTCTGTTCCTGCTGCTGTCTGTTCGTTTGTGTCCTATTTTCCTGTACTTTGCATTTTGAGCTGTGTAATTAGCATTGCGTACATTTCGGCGACGCACGAGCTCAACTGAAATCCAATTGAAAAGCACAGAAAAGTTGCATATGATTTCTCTGCGAGACGCACAATGCATAACAAGCAAATAACCAAAAGCGAAACAGGCAGATATTAACTTACGAAATACATGACAATTTTTGTGTCTGCCTTAGAAACTGTTTTAAATTGCAATTTAAAATACATTTTTTTATTTAAAAAGTATATTCCTATTTGGTATAGTTAAATAGATATTTCCGATTCTTTTTAGTATTAAGCATGTATATATGAGCAAAGAATTGGATGGCAGACATATTGACACACGGAGAGACAAGCGGTTAGACAGTTAAACAGATTAATGGACAGATTAAAGGACACCTGTCTAACTGTCTATCAGCGTGTCTCTCCGTCTGTCTATATGACTGTTACTCCATCTATTTCAAGTCGTCCATCAGTTTCTCTCATATCACACACATTATTCACATATATTCACATATATGCACATATATTCTTTTCAAACTGCACAATTTTAAAGAAAAAGAGTTGCAGCCTCTGCCTTTCTATGCGATTTTCATAAACTCAAGTAAGGCCTGCAGAATAATTATTACAGAAAATTAGCTGTGCGGCTTATATAATATCTCTTTGCCCCCTCCCCACTCGTTCTCTTACAGTTTAGCTCTGCAAAAAATCGTTTTAATAAAACTATTACAAACGTGACTTTAAAGCTATTCAAAAATACATCACATGTGCTAATTGCCTTACTTAAGCATGCATCAATGCGGATCACATAAATCTTTATGGGCTATACATACTATTCGTTTTATAGAGTTTTACCTCAGCACGCTGTGCATGCAGCTCATCAGAGCGAGAAAGAGAGAGAGAGAGAGGGAGGAAGGAAGACAGAGTGAGTAAGGTGGCAAATAAAGCGCCTTTCTTGTCACAGCCTGTGCCTGCTTATGTGAACTATAAACCATGCGATAGACGGCACTCGCATTACGCATGCAACATTCTCGCGACGCGTTTATGGCGCCAATATATATACTTACATATATATATATATATATCTGCTATATAAGTATTATATACGATAGTTACAGTTACAGCAAGGCATGCGATGACATTTTACTACGCTTGCCGCTGCGCAGCTTTTGGCTTCTATTTTATGTTTCCTCGTTTTTTTTTCCTTATATTTTTTTTTATGCGTTTTAAATTTATTTCGTTGCTGCAGAGCAGCCCCTGGCAATGGCGCCTGTCGCACGCACGCAAACTTCCGGCCTCACACACACACAGGCACGCTGAAGATGTGTGGCACACATGTGAGAGCCTGAACGCTGGCTGCCTCAACAAAGAAATGAAAACAACTTGCGTGCCAGTCTACATTTTTATTTATCGTGCAAAGTGATTCGTGTGTAATTGCAGAAATTGCGTTAAATTATTTAACAAGCGAATGCTCGAAGGGAGCCTGGGTGGAGCGTAGTGGGCGGCAGGCCGGCAGTGCACAAAAAATTCAAATTCATTTACACTTTACGCACAACGTGTGCAGGAAATTGATATATGCAATAAATTTGTAGACTACTGTGCCGGGCGGGCAGGAAATTATTTCGCTCGCACATCAAATTTGCAAATATTGGAAAATATTTGAATTTCGGTTGCTAACCAAATTTATGAATCTAATTGAATTTTCATTGCAGCTGCGCAAATAAATGTGGTTTAATGCGGGGCAATTGGCCCCCGACGCTCACCACAAAATGAACAACAACAACATGCAGAAACAAAAGCAACAATAACAGAGCCAGAGCGGACAGAAGCTTGCGGATGTCGCTTGCGGATGTGAAATTCACTTTGAGGATATGAAAATAGCGCATAAACGAGCCATAACACATGAGAGCAAACGGAAGAGCTTAAAAGGAGTATACAAAAAAGAACGCAGACACAGGCAGCTGGCAAGTTGGCAGCAACAGCAATCAACACACAAAGCAACACGGCCAGCCAAAAACAACAGCAGCAAAAGAAAGTGAAAGCTGAAAGCCGAAACTGTAAACGACGCTCCGTGTAAACACTCAAAAGCTCGTTAAGAGAATACATCCGGACAGAGCGTATGAGTGAGTGCGTGTGTGTCCGTGTATGTGTCACCATGTACCGACGCCAGCGACGACGTCTGAGTAGCTCCAACTCTCGCCTCTGCCCGGCCATTGCCATTGCCATTGCATAGTCGCATAGTCGCGCTTCCGTTTCCGTCTACGCTCACTCGCCTCATTTCCGCTGTGGCTGCAATTAAGCGAACTACCCGAGCCTCTTGCCAAGCCAAAAATAAATAAAAATTCAACAACAACAACAACAATGGCGCGCGCGACCAACTTTAATGGTAGGTATCACAAAAAGTTTAGCCAAGTTTAATCAGTCAAGAAACTGCTCAAAAGTGAAAGAAAAGTTTTCATTTAAAGCGAATTACGCTTCATTAAAAACTATATTCGGATTTATATTACACTTTTCATATTTTGTAATATTAAATGAAGGCTTTTAATTTACAACTTTTCACAAGTTTTTAAAATATTAATTTTGATACGTATTTGTAGGAAATTAAAAAAAAATCGTTACCTCAAAAGTTCAAAATCTATATGCCAACTATAATAGGCTATAACAATTAAAATACTTTCCAATTTAAATATTTACGTTATTGTAGAAGAAGTTTTTTAACCCATTTCCAATTTCTAAAAAGGATTACTTTAGAAATCCGCAAATAGTTTTCTTAATTTTGGAAATTGTTTTAATATTTCAAACTGAGTCAAAAACCTATCAGAAAAAATAAAAAATATTATGTTTGTTTAAAGAACGACTAAAAAACACAGAGAATATGAGACTTTTGTAATTAATTCGAACTCTGACTAATTAATAATTGATTTCCCAACCATTTTCTTTGGCAGATGCGCTGGACTACATATACATAGCGAATAGCATGAATGATAAAGCCTTTCTCATAGCCGAGCCGCGGCCCGATGATGACGCTGACGCGGATGAGCAGGACGAGGATTTTGGCGGCGGCGGCGGCGACAATAACAACAACAATCATTACTACAACGATGGCGGCGATAGCGACTTTATGAGCACAGCCGCTGTCGCTGGATCCTTGGAGAGCAGCAGCACGCCCAGCTCATCGCTGGCGACAGCAGCGCTGGCAGCGGCTGCGGCGAGCGCCTCGGTGGCCGCGGCGGCAGCGCGCATAACCGCAAAGGCGGCGCATCGGGCACTGGCCACCGGGGCGGCGGGCAGCAAAGCCATCCAGCTGATCGATGTGAATGGCAGCAATGGAGCCGGCGGCGGGGCCAGCGGCGTTTCGGACAATAACTATACAAACGTGGCTGTGGGCCTGGGCGCCATGCTGCTGAACGAAACACTGCTGCTGGAGGGCAATGAGACGGGCCTGAGCATTTTCGGCGAGCTGGTGAATGGCAGCGGGCAGCAGCTGCTAAATGCCAGCGCAGCGATCAATGTCACCGCCAGCAAAGTGGCCGAGGATGACTTCACACAGCTGCTGCGCATGGCGGTCACAACGGTGCTGCTGGGCCTGATGATACTCGTCACCATAATTGGTAAGTCAGCGGGAGCAGAATGTGAAAAACATGAAAAGCTCATTAGAGGCCGTACGAACGAGAGACCACTCTGAGTGTAAGCGAAATACAAAGCCAAAGCCAAAGCTGAAGCCGAAGCCAAAGCCAAAGCCTAAACATAGACATAATTATTTGCGCGCTGCTTTTGGCCCGACAATAAATTCCATGGACGCCAGACTCAGGCACGCGCGTGCCAGTAAATCCGACGCGCCATTTCATTGGGGAATATGGCAAACAATTCAATAAGGCAAAACCAAATGACAGCAGCAGCCATTTGCTGCGGGTGGTGATGCGGGTGGTGCCTTAAAACAGGCATCGAGTGGTTGCGCGTTCGCCTTCAAGATTTTTGCGTCCGTTCAGCATTTCGGTTCAGTTGCAGATAATAAAATACGCGTAACTGATATTTATGATGCTGCCGAGCCGTTTTATATTATTTATTATTGTTGTTATTATACCAGCAGCAGCACTTCGACTGCTCGTTTTTAATAAGGCGGCTCAATGTCGATGTTGCCATTGTTGTTGGGCAACATTCATTACACGCATTTAGCCATAAATCCAAAGGCAAACAGAAGACAGAAAATCCGCTCGGCAGCGGCAAGCGGCAGCAGCACTCATCTAGGCCAAAGCGACACGCCGCATTAAAACTGACAGACAATCAATCAATCAATCACTGTTTCAAGCCACAAAAACAACAACAATAACAACAGCAGCAGCAGCACGTTTTTTGTGCTCTCAACAAAATTACCATGAATACTTTAACAGTCCGATTGTAAAACGCAAAACATTTAGGTGTATGGCACACAGAAAAACAACAAGAACAACAAAAGCAAACGGATGAAATTGATTTCATTAATTTAAGTAGATTTCATTTCATTTAATTTAAACACGGCGCAAAAGCTAAGAGCCAAAATATAAAATCAAGCAGCACGCCCAAAAAAGTATGCTACACTTTTTCGAATGGAACAAAGGGCCATTTCCTTTGCGCCAATTCACATGCATTTGTTTTTGTTTTCGTTTTTTCTTATTTTTTTCGGCATTCATTTCGTATTCATTTTGATTTGCTTCTAATTTGTGTTTATTTTTTTGTAGTTTTGCTTTGCGCTCTGATTTTCACGCTAAACGTTGCCATTTTCATTTCAGTTTTCATTTTCATTTGAGTTTTCTTCACTTTTGAGCTTGGCAGCGGTTGCATTTGCTTTGAATGCTGTTTTGAGTGCCAACATTTAGCATTTAGCATATAAAAGGAAATGCTAATGAGCTTTAATGCTTACTACCCCAGCATGAAACAAGAAACTAGGCAAAATTCGGTGCCCAATGGCTGCTCCATTTTGGGCAACAGCTTCAATAACAACAAAAAGCGACCCAATTGAAAACATGGCTCGTTTGCGCTCGCTTAGAGGGCAGTTAGAGAAATTCTCAGAACAAGATTTGAAGGCAATCAAAGTTGGACTTGAAAATAGCTTGTATAATGGCTTAATTCCTTATCACATTTTAATTTGTGTATGACTAGAAGACATTACGTGGCTTCGCTCGAGTCAAATGAATATGGTTGTAAATGGGATAATACCGAAATTGATTTTGTAAAGACATATTTTAGCTTAGACACCTAAGCCAAACAGGCTTTTCTTCTTTCATATAAACTTTGAACACCGTTTTCCCCGACTTGGTGGAATTGGTCAAGACACCAACTCAGTGCAAGCTTTCGACCTTTAAGGAAGCTTAAAGAGTTAAGGTTCTTATCACTTACGGTCGAAAAGTCTTTCAGCCACAACAAAATCGCATATGAATAGATATATAATCAATTAAAATAATTAATATTAAAGAATCTACTTACATTGGGCTACATTAGTGACAAAACATCCGATTCCGATTGTGATCAACTTCATCCAGAATATTATCTTCCAGTTTTCCAAGATTAGCCTGAAACTAAATTTCAATAGAATTTCTTATAGTAAAGGTTTTCAGTTCTTACTCAACTTAATGTTAGACTAAAGAAGTTAATTTTACTTTGTTTTTAAACATTTAATTTTTTTTGCTTATTGCGAAGCTTGCGAATAAATGCTTTCAATTGATTTGATGAATAGCTATTTAAACTTGTGTCCAATATGCACTTTAAATGTAAATATTTACATATTGTAATCAATTTATGCATTTTTCAATAAATATGCAATTTTCCAATTGATTCATTTATGACATATACAGTTAATATATTTGTTTAATTTATGTTTATTCAGCATTAAATGATTTAATTCTTTAATTGACTTTAAATGGCCAAGCAAATAGATATAACTAATTGCCTCTATGGCATTTACAGTCTGCAGTTTCGGGGAAACTATTTCCTGGCATTTAACACACATTTAAATTTGAAGTAAAAGTTTTAATGCTGATGCAACGCTTTTCTTTAGACAAGTATTAAATGTGTATATATATATATATACTTAGTTAAGCTCAGTTTGAAGTTTTGTTTTTATGGCATTGCTTGGGGTTTCCTCAACAACATTTGAGCCCAGCTAAGCGGCGGTGCAATGCAAACAGCTGAGGTGCAGCACAGACAACCCGTCACTTTGCCTTCACTTTGACACTGAAGTGTCTAATTACATGTGTATTCCTTTGTTGCCGCCCCTGACAGGTGCCTTTGTATGTGTGTGTGTGTGCGTGTGTGTGTGCAGCAAACCCGTCACCATGCTGTGCCACAAATTGCATGTCTTGGGCTCAACTTTTGCAGCCTCGCACATTTCTTTGGTGCACCTTCAAGTGTGCCACAAGTAGTTGCGACAGCCGGGGGATATAAAAATAATATAGAAGCCACTAGCCGACATCAAAGGTGGCGCCAACAAATGCTGCACAGACTGCTGTCAATTTTACGCCCACTCACTAAGCGAGTGTAAGAGGCGTGGCATGGCGTCAGACGTCGGCATGGCTTTGGCAAAAGTTTACGACAGCGCGATTAGCTCATGTCGTTTATTTTGGCTTTTGTGAACTTTCTCTGAGACGGCTCAAGTGCAACACAATGTGGCAAGTGTTAGAGCAGGCAGAATACCTGCGCCAGGCAATTGCAGTGATATCCGGTTACAGCGCTCACTGGGACGCTCTGAATGTTCAAATGCAGCAGCCAAGTTTAATAAGATTCCCATTTCATTTGGCCCAACGGCTCTGCGGCACACAACTTTCGTAATTCGTAAACTTTATCCGTTCGCTAGGGTCTCGATTTCATTTTCAACAGAGGGCATTGTGATTTTGCCACGAATTATGTAACGAATAGTTTTTAAACCCATAGAGTAAGCATATATATTCTTGATACAGCCGAGTCGGTATAGTCTCTACGTTTCTAAGCTTCATGAATCTCCGACTTTATGTTACAGACATATATGTCGGAATCGACCCGGTCGGATCACTATATCATATGGCTCTATATAATGAATTGTAATAAATATATCTTGATCTTTTAATATACCTTGATCTGAACCTTATAAAATCGGTATACTATATTATATTTCTCCCAAGTGTCGGTAATAGGACTTTTATATAAAAGACATTGAAGGGCATTTAAACTTCCGTTTGGCATTGACAATCCTTCCTTCTTGTTTTCATTTTAATTTTCATTCACGTTTACTTTTACGTTTATGTATTCGTATTTCCCATTCGTTTGCGCTTTCGACTTTGGTTTCGGTTTGCAACTGCGCTTAAATTTGACTTGCCAACGTACTTAATTGAATTGAAAACTTTGCGCTCAAGTCAATTTTCGCAATTAGGCCGCTGAGCAGCAGTGGCAAGAGTGGCAAGAGTGGCAACAGTTCGTGCAGCTGTCATTGGCATTTCGCATTTCCTCTGTAAAGAATTAGTACAAGTTCTTGAACAATTGCAGGCAACGTCTTTGTGATAGCTGCCATTATACTGGAGCGAAATCTACAGAATGTGGCCAACTATCTGGTGGCCTCCCTGGCCGTTGCTGATCTGTTTGTGGCCTGCCTGGTGATGCCATTGGGCGCAGTCTATGAGGTAAGTGCGGGTTAAAGTTGCAAGAACTTCGACCCGAGACCCAAATTGGTCTCTCATGTTGATGGATAATTAAGTTAGCCAAGATTATTTAGCTGTAGTTGGTTGGGCTGTAGTTTAGACTGTAAATAGTAGCGATATACGCGCCCAACTATCGAATTTATCGATACCCCAAAAATCGATTTTATTCCTAGTCATGTTAAAAGTTCTATAACGTAGATTTAAATGTGTTTATCAACAAACACATTAAAGCTATCGATAAATTGACTTACCAATATGTATATCGATTTGTCGATAATATTGAGACAATCGATATATTGGTAAGTCAATGTATCGATTGTCCCAATATGATCGATAAATCAATATATCAATAATGGACTGTGACAATTATAGAGTGTATTCAGTATCGATTATTTTGTAGAACTGTATTCAGTTATGAGTTCTTCCACAGAACACAGAATTAAGCCTTGCTGGCCAGCAGCACCAGGCGTAGGCACAGTCAAAGCTTGACCCTTAACAAACGATTGTAGTTGCTCAACTGTTGTCCTGGCCAGCGGGGGCTTAGCCATTTAAAGGCAGTGCAATCCTTGTTTGTACCCAGTTATTAGATGCCATTATGGCCTGGCCTTTTTGTGAACTCTTCCCCAGTGTGACATCAATTTTAATAAGCCATCAACTTTTATTGTCTATTTAACTGGCACTCTGAGACCCCGTCCGTAACTTTATGTACTTTTCATCTTATCTGTTCCAACGCACACACAGATTAGCCAAGGCTGGATACTTGGACCGGAGCTATGCGACATTTGGACATCGTGCGATGTACTCTGCTGCACTGCATCCATTCTGCATCTGGTTGCCATTGCCGTCGATCGGTAAGTAATTACATTTCTTGGTGCGACACGGGATGGGAGGGGGAATTAAATATAAAGGAAAAGAAAAAATAGCTGAAGAAATCATCACATTTGATAAATGAGCACCAAAATCCACTTGTAAGCGACGTGTAAAACAAGCCGGCATTTCCTTTGAGCAGGGGTGTGGGTATTAAGGCGGTTTTCTGTCAATATGTGTGTGTGTGTGTGTGCGCGTGTGTTTGTGTGTGTGAGCTAAGCGAATCAATCAATCAAGTTTTTAGCATGTCAAATCTCTTTACAAATCCACTTGGCAACAAAACGAAGCGCACATTAAGACACATAGCAAAAAGAATACGTGAAAGCACTTGAGCAATGTGCACGAGACATTGAGATGCCCTAGATAAATATTTTTAGAATTTATGAGAATAGAAAAGGGTAAGAAAATAAATATCCTTAAATTTATGATAATCAGGACTCAACTAAAATAAATGTAAAAATCCTTACAAAAGAAAAGGTTCCTTTTCTGGATTACTTCTAAATTGCTTAAAAATTCTGAGAATCAAACAAATTAACTATCACAATTATTAATATTTTAATATTAATATTAAGCATTTTTAAATTTTAACTAAGCTGAGATGCTTCATTTATATTTTCTGTACAATTACATGCACAAAGAGAACAGCCAAAATGACACAAAAGATTTATGAGTCCCTTCAGATTTGAAGGTATTATCGAGAGCTCTGTGGCTCCGCAATTTTATAAGGCAAGCTCTGACACAATTTAAAATGTGATTTCAATGCAAAACCATTCTCAATGCTTAGCCAGCATTTGCTAACAATCGATATGCCCAATAAAAGTAGAAACTCATACCCAATCCAACGGCCATGGCCGCGACCAACTGTCTGTCGCTCAGTTCATAACGGGTGCGTGTGCCTGTGTGTGTGTGTGTGTGTGCGTAGGTTGCGTGTGTGTGTGTGTGCCGTTAATATGCTTAGCCATTTAGGGTTGACAAATCCGGGGGCTGTGTTTACTCGGCTTGTCTCCTGCCACATTATGGCTATATAAATTTAAAATAAATTCTCACTTATTGAAGCGTATGGGGCATGTAGCATGCCTGGCTGCATATCATCAATCAATTTGCAGCAAACATTTCAATCAATCAATCGAATTGAGTACGGCGCCCAAACAAACGGTAAATGAAATGAATTTCATTTGCAGACCTACACCCGCCCACCATGAATAGCAAATCTAATGCCATTCGCAATGTGTTTTCGTTGTGGTTGGGGGGCGGCTTTTCGGTTTGGGCAGGGCGCATATTCATTAGGAAAAGTACCCAAGGCGATGGCTCAATGTCAGCTAATTTCAGCCGCTGCACTTGACGACAATGGAATGAAAAAAAAAGTGGAAAGCCTGGATGCTGCACACTTAGCTGCACGTTGCAAGTGCCACAATATTGTCGGCTATATTGGCGCAATTTTCAATGGCTTCACGTCGCGTATACGTAATATGCAAAATGCACAAATGAATGCAATGGGCCCAAGCAACACCAGCAGCAGCAGCATTTTGTGTATTTAATGAACACTTAGCGCACCCCAAATAAGCAGCAGCAGCAGCAGCAGCAGAGGCAGCCACAATGGCAAAGGCCATGGCAAAGCCAGCCAAGGCCTGAGTCCCCAGGCCCGTACAACGTATCGTATGCGCAATGTAATTTCGAATTGGCAAAGCGTCGCGCGCTCTGCACTTGACTGGCTAATTTCATTTTATTGAACAATGGCATTTTCGGGCATTCGGGCAGCTTGCATTGGCCAATAGCAGACTGAACGCCCACATTAATTGGCTAAGCTGCGGGTCAATGCGGTGCCAATTATTTGGTGGTTTCAATTAGTTCAGCCAGCCAGAAAAACAAAGCCCAGCCGCAGCACAGTCCAACAATAAATTATGTAAAATACACAACAAAATTCTATTTATTTTTTAGTTAGTTGTGCACACACACACACACACAAGCCCGCGCACACATTTCAATTATGTTTATGGCGCACGCGGCGTATACGCATTTGCGCGTTTCAATGCTTTAGTTGCAGCTCATTAAAACTGAGCCCTAGAAAATGTTATTAGTTTTACACAAATCGATGCATTTACCTGTGAAATTGTGTATTTCAGGTGCGGGTGCTTGCGTTTGTCGCTCGGGGAGCACTTCAATTTAAACGTTGTGCAATTTTGGGATCAATTTATAAATCAAATAATTTACTGAAGTGGAATATTTGAATTAAAATGAATGCATTATTATTAAGGCGAACAAATTTGTATAGACGCTGCTAAGCCCAGAGCTGCCTATTCAACCCGACTTGCAAACAGATATATACTTTTAGTCAGTCATTAGGCAATGCTAGACTTTCTATTTGAATGAGATCAAGTTTCTACTACGAACATATTTTACTTATTACTATTTCACCTGAAACGTAATTCAATTCAGTTTAAACTTTGGACTACCTGCTGGCTGGCCTCATTGTGTGTAGTTTCTATAAGATGTGCTCAGAACTTGCTGCCCGATTCTTACAGGTATATTTGCCTACTGTGTGCTCTTATCATTTCGCTCGCTGATTTGGCTGTCAATTGGGCAAATTGAAATGCTGGCTGGCCCAAATTGCCTGTCAATAAATAAAGCCAAGTGATGCTTAGATTTCGCATGCATATCAATCAGCATAGCATTCGGATGAAACGGCCCTGGCGCTCCAATATTTTGGGTATTTGGGCTGTCAGCTGGACGCCAAAAAGGGAGACGGCGCCTTATTTCGTATATTATGATGGGCGCCACTCAAAAGTATGCAAATGAGCTGCATGACAGCTCCGTTTCTGCCTGAATGGCAACTCATTGTGGGGAATAGGCAGCCAAGTTCTCAAGAGCAGCTTGCGCCATGATGAAACAATTACGGCGAAATTCCTGGACCCAAGTCTGGACTATGGAGGGGGTGCCCACCCACAGTCGAGCAGGCATACACTTTACGAGTATTTGCTAGTTGTCACTTGATATTTAAAATAGAATTCAAAGCCAGCTTTTACTTATCAGCAAACGGAATGAAAATTAATGTGCTTTTAAGCAAGAGGCCGCCCCATTTGCTGGATGTCATTGTCGCTGCCAGATCCACAGCGAGAGGAAGCCCACTCTGCCCTGCTGCCTGTGCATTAATAAATTAAGTTTGTCAAACGATTCTTGCCCCCGAGGCACCTCTCCCAGCCAGTTCCTTTTGCTGGCTGTTGCGCCCGCATGATAAATAGTTGCTGGAAATTCGACTACAATAATAATATTTGCAAGTATTTGTCGTTACGAGCAGCCGACTCGTTGACAAGTAAGCAGCCAACAGGCGACGACAGCCCATGTTGCAAGAAATTGCCGCCTGCCTCCGCCTGCCTACTTCTGCCTGCCAGAGCCGCCTCACTCAGCGTTGCCAAGTTCATTTTCCATGTCAGTAATTTTTAAGCAATTAAGACAAAGTGCCAACAATATTTACGAAATTGTGAGACAAGAAGCAGCAACAGCAAAAACGAACAGCAGCAGCAGCCAGCAACAAAAACCCGTGTCCAGAGCAAAGCAAAAGCCCAAAAATACCCCAAACACAATAAAAGCCTATGACACGATACCGTTCACAACCAGGCTGGTGGACAGCAGCAACAACAGCAGCTAGAAAGAACGTGACAACGAATACTAAATACCCTTAAATAAATACGCATTTATCTTTGACACTGCCCGCCAATAGCAGCTCGTAATTGCTGACTTTGGCGTAGATATCTTGAGAAGCAGAAAAGTTTTCCATACCAAAACTCAGCTTTCAAGCGATTCTTCCCAAAAACAATATAATAATAAGATAAGATATTGTTTATATGTAAAAGGTGAGGTAAAGTTGTATATGATCCATCTCTGATCCGACAGATGGACAGAGGACAGTCTCAGATGAACGGACAGAAGGCCTTGAGTCCATCGCATCGGCTGCTGAAGCTGCTTAAGATAATATATACCTTATGGCCTCGCCGACGTCCCTCTGTGCGCAACACAGTTCGTGATATACTCATAATACCCACTACAAGGGTATCAAAATGGCGCATGGTCATTAATCTTTATGCCTTTCGCTGGCTGCTGCCACTGCGGCTGCTGTTGTTGTAGTTGCCGATGCCGCTGCCGTTGTCTCTGCTGTCGATGGCGCTGTCAATGCCAAAATACATGCACAGACAATGCTATATATACATATATACATATACATATATATGTATATATACAATATAGAGAGCGCCCGCAAACGCGGCCGCGTCGTGGGCATTGGAGTTGTGCATAAATTTTATGCTCTGCGGCATGTTGCTGACGTCATTATTAGTGGAAGCAAATGACAAATGCCACAAGGGGCAACCTGCTGCCGGGTCAAACAATCATTTAAATGCAAAGTTTTGTTTTATATTACTTTTGATTGCATACAACACGTGACTTTAAGCCCTTGCCATGTAGCACAGTGTTAGCTGAACAGGCCAACAGTTGGGCGCAGTTGTAGCTGTTGTTGTTGTTTTTGTTGCTGCTGTTGCACATGACATATTCAATTAAATTTCAATTAAGTCAACATAGTTTTATTTATATTTTTTTTCATAAATATTTTACCATTTAGCACTTAAAACGTAATTACATGTTAATATTCGTCGCCGTTGGCGATGTCGTTGTCGTTTGCGTTGTTTGGCATAACTGCTAGCTTAACAACAACAGCAACAACAAAAACTAAAAATGCAACAACATCATCGAGAACAACCACTGCGACCACAAACTGTCCCCATATGTGCCCTGCTGTACCATGTGCAATTGTAATTGCTGTTGTCACACAAGAGTTTTTCTACTTAGTGCAGCTACAGTCAGTGCGAAAAGTCTGTGTAGTTTGTGCATAAATTGCATACAAATATATTTTTAATTTGTAAGCAGTTGAACACTTAACTAAATTAATTGAAGTTTCAATAATTAAACAAAATATTTTGAATTCCTTGAAGTA